ATAAGAGGCATGGATGGGATGAATAGTCAAGGTCTTTTCCCCAGGGTAGGGGAGTCTAAAACTTGAGGCCATAGGTTTAAGATGAGAGAGGGAAGATGTAAAAGGGACTAAAGGGGCAACTTTTTCATGCAGATGAGCTGCCAGAGGAGGTGACGGAAGCTGGTACAATTATAATATTTAAAAGGTATGTGGATGGGTATATGAATAGGAAGGGTTTAGAGGCATATGGGCTACATGCTGGCACATGGGATTGGATTAATTTAGAATATCTGGCCAGCATGGATGAGTTGGTCCAAAGGGTCTGTTTCTGTGCTGTATGTCTCTGACTATGACTAAGAGTGAAGGAAATTTGTTAATAATGTATCCAGTCCTCTTACCGTCTTGTATGTTTCAAATACTGTCTCTATTTCTTGTCACATGATGCTCTGTGCTTTAGATCTGCTTTTGTTGAACAAAGCCTATTTTCAGCAAAATGGATCTCATAAAAACAAACCAGTCCCTGGAAGCAGCATTCACCGTGGATAAATTTGTTTTAATTTCCATCATCTTGCTTTTACACACAATGCCTGGTGGTGATTTCAGAAATACTTCTGTCTGAAGAGTAGAAACATGGTATTCATGTCAATTTCCTGCTGTGAGAGAATCACTATTATTTCTGTAACACCCAATCATAGAATATAGAACAGTACAGCACACTATAGGCCCTCGGCCCACGATGTTGTACCAACCTATTATCCTACTAAGATCAAACTACCCTGCATACCCTACATTATACCTCCATGTGTCTATCCAAGGGTCGCTAAAAAGTCTCTAAAGTATCTGACTCCACTACCACTGCCAGCAGCTCTTTCCACATGCCCAACACTCTCTGTATGAAGAACCTACCTCTGACATCTCCCCTGTACCTTCCTCCAATCACCTTAAAATTATGCCCCTCGTAATAGTCATTTAAGCCCTGGGAAAAAGTCTCTGATTATCCACTCTATCTATCCTCTCATCATCTTGTACACAATCACTCTTCAAATTTCCCAGTAACTAATCTCACTTTAGCCTAGCGTCCAATTTATAAGGATATTTTTCAGTCACATCCACCAATGTGACATAGCTGGTTGGGGACATGGATTAGCTCATTTAGCTGGATGACTGCTTTGTAATGTGGAGTGACACGAACAGTTGAATTCCCTCACCAGCTAAGGTTACTATGAAAGAATCTTCTTCCCAACCTCTTTGTCTGATGCGTAGTGACCTTCCAGTTAAACAACTACCAGTCATTTCTGTGATGAGGCAGCATCCCTATGGTCCTCTGGGACTAATGCAACTTTACCTTTACTTTTATAGCTGGTTGGCTTTTATCTGGTACTCCAGAATAAACTCAACTTTCCAACTACTAACATCCCTATGTTTTGTAGCTGTTATTAGTTTAATCATGTTTATTAGCAGTCATGAAAATCTTCTGGGCTTGAGGCCTTCTGCTATGAGACTGCTTTTTGGCTAACATTACATAATCAAGTCTATATCTTGTGCTTAGATTGCCATTGAGGACTTGTTTTGGATTGTGCTTTGTTGGTTTCTCCCTTCCAACCTCAACATCATGAATGGCCCTACAAGGTTAAGAACTCCTAACGCATCATCAACAGAACTCTCAACACTCACTCTCAACCACAACAAGGTGGTAATTCATGGAAATAATTCCAAAAGCAAAATGACAGAGTCAGACTCCACCAACTACGTGAAGCTGAGGCTTTCCAGATTTTTCAATTCTGTCCCCGTCACCTCTCACCAATCGCCACAGGGCTTGGGTTGTGTGTGTGAGGGTTTGAATTCCTCTCGGTATATGCCTTGTGCATCTTTTCACATGGGAATGCACAATCCTTGACATAAGGTAGATTCAGTTCCAGTGGCAAGGAAATTTCAATGACTGAAGATATCCCTACTGTTGCAGCCATCATCTGCTGTCACAGCCGTTGATATCACATGATTTTCATTCTACAAATAGAAACAGGCGAGCGTTATAGTAGCTTCCTTCACAGCTGAGCAGCCATCTTCAGGATCCACTCTGCTCACCCTGCACAGGGAAGGTCCCCTCAAAATAATTTGTTCCATAATACCCTAGCTGGAAAACCACATCCAGCAGGCTCATCTACCTGTGGTCTGAAAACTAAAGTTATACTCAATCTTGGAACCTGGCAAATATGAACCCTCTTTAGGGAAAGCATTTCGAAGGCCCAGAAGGCTTCCCTCAAGAAATGCAATATAGATTCCAAAGCAATGGGAGACCCTCATTCAGAGGAAACTCCTGTATGAAGGGACACAATTCTTCAAGAACACCTGTCAACAAGTGGAAGAATGGAAAATGAACCAGAGAAAAGAATGCCTATGATTTCTAGGCTGAGGATCACTTCAACCTCCTGGAAATACCTGTTAAATGTTTGGATGGAGATGTAGCTGTAGGATCAATCTCAACAGCTACACAAGGACACAGAACCCATGGCCCGTGATGTGTAATTTCTTAGATGGACAATCGTACTCGTTAGTTTTCATTCTGGTTATTTGACCAAAGTTGTGTAGCACTTCATTGATCACCGCATAATACCTTTCACAAAATCCACATTTTTGTACTAGGCATTTGTAAATAGTACTCTGAAAATTTGCTGGTGCCCCAACTCCAGTCCTTATTCATTTCTCCATAATTTTGACTGTAACAAGTCTTTTGTTCTTACTATGTATTATATTATGATGTGGAGGTGCTGGTATTGGACTGGGATGGACAAGGTCAGAAGTCAAAAGACACTATGTTATAGTCCAACAGGCTGAGTCACATGAGTATCTGCTGCATTTGTGGTGGATGGTGTTCCCACGTTGTGATGGTTGTATCCATGTTGATGATCTGGCATGTCTTGCAGAGGTTGCCATGGCAGGCTTGTGTGGTGTCGTGGTCAGTGTTGTCCTGAAGGCTGGGTAACTTGCTATGAGCGATGGTCTGTTTAAGGTTTACTGCAAGTTTAGTTGCAACTCACCAGTCCGCAGAAATTTGATTTACTGTGATGGCTTTTTGTGTATAGGAATTTTTTAAGAAAAAGGAAATTTGTTGCTAACATATGCCTGTTTTCATGAGCTGATTTAAATATTGCTTTGTCTCAGAAATTAATGCTTTCCTTGTGTTGTGGTTTTAATGAAGCAGTGATGATTATTGGGCTTATTTGGTGAATTCTTCTCATTCTGCTTCTGAGAGTCTGAATTTACCGCATATATCAAAAAAATGTTAGAGATATTGTTACTTATTGACTGTGTCATGTAATGAAGGAGTTAATGGCACTGAAGAAATAACCCCTGAGAAATCGAAGGCCTAAGAAAAAGATATATTTTGATCACTGTTAAAAGTTCTCCTAGAGTATTGTGTATAGCTTTGGTCTCCTTATAAAAGGAAGGATGCCACAGAGGGCATGTGACAGAGTTTTACCAGACTAATCCTGGCTTAGCAGGAATGTTTTTAAGAGGATAAGTTTAGGAAACTGAGCCTATACTGTCTAGAATATTGAGGACTGAGAGGTGATCTCATTGAAATTTACAAAGTTAATCCAGGGTGGGAAAGGAAGATGTAGTATGTTGTTTCCCCTTGCTGATCTGGAAATGAAGGACATAATCACTGATGGGTTGGAACCTTCCCACTCAGTGGGCAGTGAATCTGGAATTCTCTACCCCAGGGGGTTATAGAGGCTCAATCGTTGAGCATGTTCAAGACAGAATTTGATAGATTTTGAATATTAATGATATCAAGAGATATGGAGATTGCCACTTAACTGCACTTTGATCAGCCAGGGTGATGTAGTAGGATATCTCCCCTTGCTGTTGGCTCTCCTTTAGAGAAGGAAACTGCCATCCTTACTTGTTTGGTCTACATGTGACTCCAGACCCACAGCAACGTGATTGACTCTTACAGTGCTCTCTGGGCAATTAGGAATGGACAATAAATGTTGGCCTAGCCAGTCTCATCCTGTGAATGATTTTTTTGAAAAGGGAAAGGATTTTTCTCTGCTTACTAATTATGTATACAAGTTACTGCTGTTTCTTTAACATTTTCTTAAATTTTCCAAATAAGTGTGTTATGTTGTACTCTATCAAATGGTTTTTCAAATGTCATGATACAATAAATGTTGTATATGTCTTCACAAACCCTTCCTTTAAAGAGATCATTGAACATTGTTTGTTTGTCTTTAACACAAACACACTGTTTCTTAATGATTTTGCACTTCTCCAAACGAGAAGAAATGTTGTTCCTGACAATGATGTCTCTTTTACTTTTCTAACCATTGATATTAGCCCAATGGGATTTCAGTCACCAGCATTCAGGAGTTTTAATTGGGATGTAACAGTTGTAATCCTCCCAGCCTCCTCCATCACTCCTGCACCAAGGAAGATTGAAAAATTCTAATCAGATTTTTATTCTGGTACTTTCAGAAACTTAGCATGCATCCAATCTGGATCAAATACTTTATTATCTTTGAATAGTACCAACATTTTAACACTCCTTTTTACTTATTTTTAGCCTATCCAATACTACTTCTCCCTAATCTACTGAGATAATAACTTCACCTTCTTGCTTTGGAAAGGTAGCTGCAAAATATTTAGTCAATAGTCCAGTTAATGCCCTTAGCCTACACAAGATTTTCTTACTTATCCCAGAGTTGCATAATTTCTTCAATTTCCTTTTACATTTTGTATTTTTATAACCTTTTTGATTTCTTTCCTTCTCATGCTCCCTCAATAATCTTTAGCTTTGATCAATAGAAAAAGTCACATGCACATCAGCACAGAAACTTGTTGCAGAGTTTAGAGCATTATGATTTTTATTACATTTACTAATTGATGCAGCTTTTGTCTAGCATTTAGTAAACAGACAAGCTTGAATCAATCACAATAAGGACAATTCTTTCAAAGAAAATATATAGTGAGCAGTGTGGCTTCTGTAATTATAAATATGTTTGTTCTTTGTTTTGTAGTTATACTTCGTAATGTGGTTAATAACAGAAACCAGGCTTTCGCAGAGATGAAATCTTAGAAACAGCAATGGGGAGATGAGAGAAGACCATATTTGGGTAAAGAAGGAATGTGGAAACTTTGTATCTTGCACTTCATTAAGCAGTTCTGCTTTGATTAATAAACTATTAATCTGAAGAAAATAGCAGTGTGATGTTGGTAGTTGACATTTGTTTCATATCTCCATGTCTGCTTTCATCTCCACTGACTGGCAAGTATTTTATTTTATTTCCTGGATCTGCATACAACCAAGTTTCTTATTTAGGAAATTGATTTTACAATTGGAAGATTGTAGAGCTATCAGTCCAACTTTCCAAATAATAGCACCCTAAAATGTTCTTGAAGAAATGTTTTGCATTGCAGTATTTATGAATTAAAACAAATGTCCTTTTTTTGTATTGCTATGTGCACTAGATTTCATTCTTGTTTAATTTAAATGTGTTTAGAAGAAAACTTTCCCACAGCATCTTCTAAATAGGCTCCAGGTTTTTGTCCTTTGATTTGCCTCTCTCAATAGATTTCCTGGGTAAGTCCACATGTTGCACTGTATCTCACCTGGTCAGTTGTGATTTTAATTTTTGTGAGTATCAGTTCTAAAAATTAACTAGTAGCATTGACCTATTTTCAAAGATCTTACCTTAATATTTGTTTTTCAAGATTTACTGGCCAACTAGTAATGTTTTTATGTATTTCACAACAATTTAAATCAACTGAGGTAATACCCTTGTTGCCTGTCTCTGTACGACATAACAGTTAACCTCAGTAAAAGTAAGTCTAGAAGGCACAGAGTACTCTTTAACTTAACTAATCCACTCTTTTTCTCAAAGTCTCAAAAAGTATCAAAAATATCCAAATATCAAAATATTCCTAAATACAAATTGTAAACAGTTAAAAGAAACCACACTGGTCATCCTTCTGCTAACTTTTAATACAGCACATAAATCATAAAACATTACCCAGGAATGCTCAGCTGGTCAAGCTGCACAATTCCTTCATCCCATTCTGTCTCCTGGCAAGGGGGTGCTCATGCACTGTTTGTCTGCAGGAGTTAGACTGTAGGCTTATTGGCTTCCTTCCAATCAGAGACGTTCACCTCATGTTGCGAAGCACCGATCCTCCAATCAGATACCAGAACTGCTTCGCTTCTTGATTGGGCTCAGTGGCTACCATTATGTACGTAACTGTTACCACATTCACTCATTCAGCTTGAGCAATTCATAGTCTCTCCATTTGAGCTTTAACCCTTTCCAGCCCTTGCCAACACCATCCTGTTCCTTGCTGGTGAATTGCTATTCAGACTATCTAACAAGGCAGTTAGGCTCCTTCTAAACATTTCTGTTATTGAACATTAATTTATCTAAGGTTTATTTAATATTCATGGGCAACAAACATACGAACAAAGAACAAGAGTAGGCCCAGTGGTCCTTGAAACCTGCTCTGCCATTCAATGAGATCATGGATGATCTAATTTTTTTAACATCAATTCTACATTCCCGCCTACCCCTGATAATCTTTCATCCCCTTGGTAATCATGAACCTATTTACCTCTGCCATAAAATATTTAAAGATTCTGCATCCACTGTCTTTTGAGGAAGGTAATTCCAATGACTCAACCCTCTTTAGAGAAAAAAAATTCTCCACTCAATCTTAAATAGGCAACCCCTTATTTTTGAACTATGACCCTTTGTTCTAGATTCTCCCACAAGTGGAAACATCCTTTCCACATCTACTGGGTCAAGACGTCTTGGGACCTGATGTGTATCTGACTCCTCCAAACTCCAAAGAATTATAGGCCTAGCTTGATCAGCCTTTCCTTGTGAGACAGTCTGCTCATTGTGAATATTAGTCTAGTAACCCTTCTCTGAACTGCATCCAGCGCATTCTTCAGTAAGTACAGTGACCAGCACTTTTACATAGTACTCCAGATCTAACCTCACCAATGCTCTGTATAACTGTAATATAACTGCCCTATACGTGCATCTAATTCCCCCCTCACAATAAAATGAGATTCTATTGACTTTCTTGATTACTTGTACCTGCACAGTAACCTGAGATTCATTACTAGGACATCCAGATCGCTCTACATCTCAGAGTTCTGCAACTTCTCATCATTTAGATCTTTTTTTTAAATTCCTTCAGCCAAAATGGAAGATTTCACACTTTCAACATAATACTCCATTTGCCAGATCTTTACCCATACTTAACCTGTCTTTGTCCCTTTGTAGGCTCCTGTGTCCTCTTCACAATTCACATTCCTACCTATCTTTGTATCATCATCAAATTTAGCTAGCATATCTTTGATCCCTTCATCCGTATCATTTATATAAATTGTAAAGAGTTGAGGCCCTAGCACTGATCCCTGTGACACACCACTAGTAACATCCTGCCAGCCTGACAAAGACCCATTTAGTCTTACTGTCTGCTTCCTGTCAGCAAGCCAATCTTCTGTCCATGCCAATATGTTACCCCCAACACCACGAGCTTTTAATGTCATAAAACCTTTGGTATGGCAACTTATCAAATGCCTTTGAAAAGTCCTCACCCGTGCCTAGCAGCCAACTGGTTGTTAATTTGGGGTGGCATGGTGGCTCAGTGGTTAGCACTGCTGCTTCACAGCGTCAGGGACCTGGGTTCAATTCCACTCTTGGGCCACTGTCTGTGTGGAGTTTGCACATCCTCCCCGTGTCTGCGTGGGTTTCCTCCGGATGCTCTGCTTTCCTTCCACAGTCCAAAAATGTGCAGGCTAGGTGGATTGGCATGCTAAATTGCTCGTAGTGTTCAGGGATATGTAGCTTAGGTGGGTTATAAGGGGATGGGTCTGGGTGGGATGCTGCAAGGGTCGGTGTGGACTTGTTGGGCTGAAGGGCCTGTTTCCATATTGTAGGGATTCTATGATCTATGAGAAACCCAAATACAATACATCCACTAGTTCTCCTTTATTAACAGCATAGGTTACTTCTTCAAAGGATTCCAATAAATTAATTAAACATGATTTCCCTTTGACAAAGCCATGTTTGCTCCACCTGATTACCTGGAACTTATTCAAATCCCTATGATAATGTCTTTAATAATGGCTTCTAATATTTTCCCCATGACTGATGTTAAGTTAATTGGCATGTAATTTCATGCTTTCTGCCTCCTCTTTTGAATAAAGGAATCACATTAGCTATTTTCTAATCTAAAGGAACCTTCCCCAAATCTAATGAGTTTTGGTGAATTAAAAGTAAAAACAGAAATTGCTGCAAAATCTCAGCAGGCCTGGCAACATGTGTGGAGAGAAATCAGAGTTAATGTTTCGGGTCCAGTGACCCTTCTTCAGAACTGATGGTAGCTGGCAAAGGACATTTTTACTTTTTTTTCACATGGTTCACGGGCTCTGACCAACTAGCTCAAAGCCAGTCCCTAGACTGAGGAGACTTTCTGAATCTCCTGTTTAGTTTATTTTTATATTCTTTTCAACACCCCCACATGACCACTGAACCCAAAGGGGCCCTAGCACAAGTGCTTATATTTTCCCCGCATCACCCATGGCTGTATATGAATGTATATTGACTGAGTAAAAAGTCACCATAAGGATGGTTTTTATACAGAAGATGCGGTGGGGTAAGGGGAGAAAGAAAATGATGGGTGGAGATAGAGCCCAAAGAGAAAGAAAAACACTTGGACAGACAAGGGAATGGTTAATGGTCATTCCAGAGGAATGAATATCATGGAGATAATTAGTGGCTAATAATGGGTAGTGTATGGAGCAGCCCATATAATGGCAAGGCCTGGTGTGTGGGGGTGGGGGAAGCATGAGGAAAGGTGTTCAAGCCCTAAAATTGTTGAACTGGATGTTAAGTCCAGAAAGCTGCAAGGTTCCTGTGGTGATTAGAACAAGGCCTAGATAGATCTCATTGACTATGAGATCGTTGATTGGGATTGTTAACCTGGGCCAATTAGGGAATCTTAGCTGACAGATATAAACAAGAGTTTCAGAGAGCCTCCTCATCGTAGAGATTGGCTCTGAGTTGGCAGGTCAGAGGCAATGTACTGTGCACATGCAAATAAAAGATGACTTGGTGATGGTAAACCAGCTTGTGTGCAGTTATTTCAGTGGCAACAAGAGAAAACAGGAAGCTCCTGGAGAAAATTCGCCTGCAACAGTCATTTTTGAATTGGGATAAGCATTTTTGGCATCTTGCCTTTATTTGGGAAGCTTGACCCATTCAATCCTGCCGTCGAAGACTGGGCCCAGTATGTAGAAAGAATGTCATTTTTTTTCTGGGCAAATGACATTGGGGCAGATAAAAAGCAACGAGTAATCCTTCTGGGTGCTTGCAGACATGCAGCATTTTTGGTTATTAGGAGCCTAACTTTCCCTGGGGCACCAGATACTAAAACTTTTCAAGAGTTGACGGATTTAGCTAAGGAACATTATGACCCCAAACCTCCCCAAATTTTGAGATGCGATCGGTTTTGTTTGGCAAGTTGAGAACCAGGGGAATCTGTATCAAGATTTTTGATGAGGCTAAGGTGACTGGCAGAGGCATGTGATTTTGGGTTAGGTATGTGGAATTAATGACGTAACCATGGAAAAGTGCCTGGTAGCTGAAGCCCAACTTGATTTCAAACAAGCACTAGAACTGGCTTTGTCATTAGAAAATGTGGCAAGTGAAGCAATGTGAGTTACAGGACATCCCAATGGAAGAGACGCGCTCAACCATCTGACTGAGCTTAAGGAACACCACTTGAGTGAAGGCAATTGCACAGCCTCACTAAAGGCATTTTCTGAACAGAAGGACCCTAGGTCAGCCCACAGCAAAATCCCAAATCGAAGTTGAGCCTTGGCCAAATGGCCAAAATATTCTTCAGAATCCAGGCTGGCAAGCCATTGTAGTTGCTGCTGCTATGCAGACTGAAGACAGCAAAGGAGGCCTAAGAGGCATGACTTGATAAGAGAACTGATAGGCCAGTATCCAAGAAAGTGCACACACTGGAAAGTCCACCTATATGTGTCTCAGAATAGTTGCTTAGTAACTTCTCAATCAGAAGCAATCAAAATAAATATCTGATTAAATGGTTACCTGGTTCTATTGGAGGTCGATACCCATGCAGCTGTATCAGTGATTACAGAACCAGTCTTTAACAAGATTCTCTCTGG